TCACGTGATCATTGGCGAATCTCTGTTACACTATAGGATCTCTAGACACGTCACGCCGGTCGCGCCACATTGTTTATGTCGAAATGCGAAAGACAGACAAGTGAAGACCGTTATAAAGATCTCATCATGGAATGCGAAGAAAGTGCTCAGTTTGAAGATAAAACTTGTTTAAACTTGATATTGTGTAGAGTGTTGATTGGGCTAGTAAAAGCAAACGAATGTTTGTGGAAAAAACGGTGCATTTCACATAAAGACCAACAAATGAAAAGTTTGTGCTGGACGAGTATCGGAAATGTTTTGACCACTGTACTTTCCGGTAAGTAATCGAGTTGCGAATGTAAAATTTTTGAGGTTGAGTACTTATCAATTACTACTATATGCTACCCTTTTTCTCTTTGTTACAATTTTTCGGTATGTGTTTCAGGTCCGAATGCCGAGAAAGAATTCTATAAATTGAGACGAAAATTTGGTCGAGAAGTAAGAAAAGAAAAGGAGAGCGCCCCCTAATCCGGAACCGGGGCAGGGCAACCAATGTATGTCAGTAACTGGCCGCTCTATAAAGACTTAGAATTTCTAAAAGATGTGATTAAATCTAGACGGTAAGATAATATTATAGAATAGTCTATTCTTTGTCAATATGATTAGTTTCTATTATACGTATAATTGTCACGTGACAATGTTATCTTTTTTGCAGAACATCATCTAACTTTACAAAGAATGTCATTCAGACGCCAAGTCCATCATCTTCTCCACCTACAACACCAACAACACTACAGAACACTCCATTTCCTAGCTCCTCCTTATAAAATTCATATTTGGAAAACAGTATTTTATCTACAGGTATATAATCTTATTTTTAGTTAATGCATATAATTAGTACATTGTTAGTAATTATTCTTTATCATTCATGTGTGCTTTCTTTCTTACAGAATCTGAGATGGAAAATGTTCCATTGATGAATCCATCATCATCTTTGAAACGAACTGTTCCTATACCGGATTTCTTTTACACAAAGAAAAAGAAAACTCATGAAAGTGTGGCTTGTGCTATAGAAAAACATTCGTCTAATATAACAGCACTGACAGAGATGGTCACTCAACGTTTGCAAGGTCCTACCTTTAGAACTCAAAATAAGCCAGAGGATTCTTTATTTCTGTCTGTTAAAGCAGTACTTGCAAGAGTGCCAGAAGAAAAACAATTACAATGTATTATTGAAATATTACAGATTATACAGAAGTATACTATAGAAAAGCAGAACTCAGAAACAATGTAAGAATTAGTATTAAAAAATTAATAATTTTGGTTAACTGTTGGTAAACTAATAGTTCCTGTTGGTAAACCAACTAATAATTAAGTTTGAGTTGATAACTAATAGGTTGATGAACTAACAACACTTTAGATTTAAAAAATGTGATTTTTCAATTATATTCAGTTTAAACATATATTTTATCAGTTAATAATTTTGGTCTATAATCAAAAAGCAATATTAATATAAAATTATTTTTTGCAACATTAATATCTATAACTTTTTGCAATATTAATATAAGTTTTTTTTGCAATAATAATATAAAATCTATATCATAAAATTCTTTTTATAATATAGATAGTGATAAAACAATATATTGATATAGTACAGGTATAAGTATAAATACGTTTATTTAAGCTAAAGGTCTCGATGGATCGTACAAATGCTATGAATTATACTTATTTATACTATAATAAGAGTATAATAAATAAGAGTATAAAGTGATATACCAAGATTTATATAAAATATATACTATAAGATTTATAGAGACATTCCTCTCCTAAGATGTAATGCTTTGATGTAGTAATAATATATTTCTATCCTACAATATAATGTTTCTTTTAATGAAAAATACATATTATTAATTTTTTGTGTACCTTTATATGCAACTGAAACAGAAAATTATAATAAATTAAGTAAATAATGGGCTATGAGAGCTGACGCAAGATCTAATATGCGGAAAAATTATATTTAACAATTGTTAGTCAATACATTTAAAAACATCAAACGTTTCAGCCCTAAATCGGGCCCTCGTCTGTGACAGAAAATTATAATTTTCGCAATTTCCTCGAAAATATTTTGCACGTTCACAGCGTCTATAAACGGCATGGGTTCACCAATCTTTCCTGAAAACGTATCAAATATGTATAAGCATGTCCATCTTAAATCCAAGTATTACTAAAAGTTACCATATTACCTTTATTAAAAGTGTGGCGGGTTTATAATAGCACCACGGAATGCTCGTTGATACTGCCAAGGAGCAACTTCTTCACCAGCTTCCGAAATGAAGTAATCGCAAAGTGTATCCCGGAGCTGAGCAGATGTTCTAGTTGGATTATTGGCACCGACTCGTCCAATCCTATGCAGCCTTGTTTCACTTTCTTCAGTCCGCCAAGTTCCAGGAATTGTATTCCCCTCTTCATCTTCTTGGTCACATAATTAGAGGGGCAATAAGTACGATGCTGAGGTGTCTCCTTACTTTCTTCTGTCATCACAAAATTATGCAGGCATACCAAAGCTTGAAATATAATTTGTGCATTGTGAGGGTTATTGCATATATGCACTTCCTGAGAATACGCCATCGAGATACGAGAATGCCGAAAGTGTTCTCTATAACTCTTTGAGCACGGGAGAGTCTATAATTAAAAACTCGCTGTTTATCCTGCAAGGCAGTACGCGGATAAGGACTCATGAGATAAAGTTTGAGCGGAAATGCCTTATCTGCCACAAATACGTGAGGAATTTATGTGACTTCCGGGCAACATTTTAAGAGGAGGAAGCTTTGTTTCTTCATGCTCCAAAGCATCAGCAAGTGCAGAATTATTCTACACTTCTCCATCACTCACAGAATTACATAATATGTAATTACATGTAATTACGTAATATGAATATAATAAGAGATGCATAAATATATATATTCTAAACAAAATTTTTATTTATGGAAATACTCAGACTGAAGTAAAAAAAATTGAAATATATATCTACCATACTGTCCTATATCCACCCATGTAAACTTATATGACGCGTCGCAAGAAGCCATCAAGGCTGAAGTATTTCTTGTAATTAAATAATTCAGAACCAGCGTTGCCAGGAGCTTGAATTTGCATGTGGCGCCCATGCAAATTCTATGGCCCCAACACAGTTGGGAAACTGCACCTTCGAGTAGAAATCTTCAGCTACTTGCATCCATAACTCAGGCGAAGGTTCAGGCAGATACAAAGGCTGTAGAACTGTCCAAATGGCTTGAAACACTTCATTCACAATTTTATACATAGTAGATCTACCAATCCGAAACTCCCATGCCTTCAACTTAACACTGTCGCCATGTGCGAGAAATCTGTGCAGGTATTGTATATATCTAGTTTAAAATACATCTGGCAAAAAAAAGGATACTTTTCAAGGTCATAATTAAAGCAAGAAAATTACTCACGCAAGAGTGGCTGCAAGTTTCAGTTTTTACCGGAAGTGCCCGTCTCCACCGCGGCTTCTTTTTAGGAGAAGGGGATGCACCATAAAGAACAAAATAAACAAAACAATTTCCGTCGCCAGCAAATAATTCAAAATAAGTCGTTTTATTTCGACCCAACTGGCCAATTGATACAAGAATTGCACGACAACTTTATTTGACAACTTCAGTTCGACTTTGACTGTCTTACAGTTCGGACGTTATGCCTCGATATGGCTGGTGACGTTTTGATTTCATGTATCACCGTTTGTCTTGGAACGCATAAGAGTTGTAAGCTTTTAACTAATTTTACAATGCTAATTGACTTTATTGTTTTTGACTATCGTGATATTGTAATAATTTTGTAGAGTTTTTCTATTGTTGAATGTATAAATTCTTTCTCTTGTGTTTAGCTTTGCGTTCGTCTTGATGTAGTCAGGACACCACGTCAACGATGCAATTAATTTCGTTATGCGGATCGGTGTAACTCGAATAAAAGCACTTGATAAGGACCAAAATTCGGTCGAAACGTCGTGCAATTCTTGTATCAATTGGCCAGTTGGGTCGAAATAAAACGACTTATTTATAGAGAACAAAAGTTTAAATTTTTCAGGCCACATACGGCAATATGAGAAAAACTCCTCATGGTCTGACAACAATAGTTCTGATACGAGGTTGGAATGAAATCCTAATTCATCTCGTCGCTGATTGATTGGACGCACCCACCATCTTCTTAGCACTTGCCTTCTCATTTTTAAATATACAGCACACAATAAATTCACATACTTATTCACAATTTAATAGCAGTAATAATAGCAACAACTCTGTCTCTGTATCCATCATGGTGAACAACTAAACTGTCCACATTCGAAATACACACTGCACTCTGATTGGTTTCTTTAATCAAGTTTACAACGTATCGTTACTTTATTGTAGATTGATCCGTTGTACAAGATTCACGACTATTACTACTCCTACTTCTACAACCCTACATTTACGCAATTGTAGACCGGGCTTTTCGATCACGTAATCGTAGTTGTTATCTGAGTGTAGGACAATAAACATCCCAAATAGCAAAGCGTGTCTGAGCAAAATCGCGCAAACCTGTAATTGCTTATGATGCTGGCAACTTGCCGTACATTTGGTTCAATTGATTTCGAGTAATTTAATATTTGAAGCAACACGCAGGCAACATTGGATATATGTATTGCCAGCAAGTTGTCGGCAAGAGAGCAGCATCAAATTTACTTCGCGTTGCTAACAATATGATAGCATTGTGTGATCCTATGAATTATTACAGCAACATGACAGCAACAGCTCGAATTTTGAATCAGACGATTTTAGACCACAGCATAAGTTGCCAACAAGTTGCTGGCAAGTTGCTATACAAAATTGTTATATCATGAAGGCATCAACTTTCCGACAAATGCGAAAAATTTCAATATTAAAAAAAAAAAAAAACGCGAAAAAAGCTTGAAAAAATTAGAAGTGAACGCCGCCCCACTTTGGGTCAAGACTTAAAAATTTTTATATCTGACACAAGATTTTTGAGAATTTTTTCAGATTTTTAAATTGTGGCCATCAATATGTCGGTTTAAAAAATTATAACTAAATCAATTTTATAAAAAAAATATAAAAAAAATTTTGAGTGCATTTTAGAGTTGGAACAATAACATGAAAAATCGCCGATCAAATCCGAGAGGTCGAGAGTCAAATCCAGGTCGATTTGGCATGGAATGCCCCATATATTTAATATTTTTATATTGAAGAAAGCTACATCTAAAATAGTTTACAATATTTTTCTGCAACAGTATTTTGCTATTCGATCATTACTATTGAAGCAGTAGGTTTTTCGTGTCGGTAAGGCGGAAAGCGCGGCTAGTAGTTTTTCATTATTGTGGCGGCGTTGAGGCGCGCTAGCTTCGCCTATTTGAACTTTTTTTTTAAGGCAGTTGCGTTTAGTTTTCTCGAGACGTGTGTAGACGCGAGCGCGTTTTTGTAACACAATAAATAATTATAGTATATACCCCTCGATCCTTTATTTCTTCATAAGATAACCTGCTACCGGAACGCGAGTGCGATTTTAGCTCTGTTCTAACAATTACAACTTTAATAGATACAATCTTTATCAAGAAATACATATCTGCTACCTGTTTTGTATTTCTATTACGTTTTCATTAATTTAACGTGGACTTTTGTCGTGTAGCCAACTTACCCTACCATCGCGGCATCGGGGCAAGCTGGCTACAATGCAGCATGTTCGATCGTATTTCACTTATTACAAAAGAACTATTATACAGTATACAGGATTGTTCCTGGCATAAAAATGTGGAAAAAGGTTCTCTCTATCATATTAGTACTGTTTAATCATGATAATTAGTTGTTAAAAAAATCAAATGCCGAAATTGTGAAAGCTGTGCCAATGAGCCCCGGTCTCCCCTATTACTAAAAACAATCATCATTTATCTATTCGTGAGTTACTGAATATGCTACAACTACTTAATCGAATTCAAGATTTCTACATCCGTTTTTTGTTGCATGGCACTCGATTACATTTTACTCTTCTTTGCCAACATTCCACTCGCGAAATATCGTTGGCGCATGATGCACGTGTGTTTCAATCTTCTCTTGTATATTAAATACACGCACACAGAGTGTTCCAGGTAAACATGGCGTTAAGGGGACCTACTTCCGATGACCTTGAATTTAACATATATTGTCAAGGACACCCTCCCGAGTAACATGCAAGTGATTTTAGTCGGGGGTCGCTTTTTATTAAAAAGTTATTAACAAATAAAGTTTGAAAAATATAGCAGCTATTTTGATGTAGGTTAGTGACGCGTTTTAAACAGTTAAATACTTTTAAAGCGCGTCAACTAACCTATGTAGGTTAGTGACGCGCTTTAAACAGTTAAATACTTTTAAAGCGCGTTACTAACCTACATAGGTTAGTTGACGCGCTTTAAACACTTAAATACTTTTAAAGCGCGTCACTAATCAATACGCCGAAAGAATATTTCGCGTGGAAAGTGTATGCGTGAACTATTTCGACATATATATTAGTCATTTATGCCTTCCAATACTCAAAATAGCTGCTATATTTTTCAAACTTTATTTGTAAATAACTTTTTAATAAAAAGCGACTTCCGACTAAAATTACTTGCATGTTACTCGGGAGGGTGTCCTTGACAATATATGTTAAATTCAAGGTCATCGGAAGTGGGTTCCCTTAACGCCATGTTTACCGTGTTCCATTTTAGGAGTTACGTCTAACAAATTTTTGAAAAAATTTTAAATTTTATAAAAAAAATTACTGAAGCAAAAGTTTCATTGTTTTGGGAGATAAAGATGCATGATATTTAGTAAATATAATAAACCAATAGTTTATAATAATATATATTTATAGTAAACTATATTAACCCTCAAACATCGCACTGGGTTACAGCTGTTCTGAACAGCGAAGAGTGAGGGGGTTAGGACTAAAAAAACTTATGCGCCCTGCTACTACAAATTCTCCCAGATCGCAACCATAGTGCGTTCGGAGTAGCGGAGTAAGGACGTTGCCAATTCAGTTTATGGTATGGTAACGTAGCGTAACGTAATGTGAGTCAACGCACAAAAAATCTATCGGTTATGGCGTTATACGTTTCTTGTGCGTTGATCTACGTTACGTTACGTTACGTTACCATACAAGAGTCTTATGCGGAGGCTCTTACGCTAACACAGTGCGGTGGTAATGTCAAGAAAGTCGTGTATTTATTTTATATTAAATATTTCTTTATTATGACTTGAATATATTATTATATTATAGCGATGAAATTGAATGATTATTTATTTATTCTTACTTGAGAAAATCGCAGTCTGCTCCAAAAAGCTGTTGAAACAAATTTAAACCGACGTCACGCCTCACTTTGGATATTCTATAAAATTATTGAAATATTGTAAAAATACACATTAACAGTCCCAAGATCTTGACCTTGACATATATTGTCAAGAACATGGTCCTGAGTAACTATCAAA